ACCCAGAAGATGAAAATAGCGCAAAAAAGCTTAAAATTAACCAGTTTTCTCAAACAGTTAAAATTATCGAATGCTAACATTGTCTTCTATAATGTGCAACACAAACACCTCTGCTAAAATCTCAGAAAAAGTAGTCTGGGATTTCATGACCCTTTAATGAATCTTTGCAAATCGCCTTTCCTAACAACGTGCTAGTTAGCAGTTCATATATCATTCGAACCGCACCAGAGTTAGTTTGGAAGACCATCTTTTCAGCGGTCTCGGTCTGCTTGTTTTGTGCACACCAGGGTTTGGATGGCAGCGTTCACACTTGCTCAAATGAACTGCACTAACAGAGCAATCGCACCAGGGTTCGTTTTAATCGAACCAAACATGCCAAGTGTGAACGCACCCTTAATCTGTAAGTCTTTAATTTAGCCATTTCATGATTAATATCCTGATACTTAAAGGAATAGTTTACCCAAAAATGAAAATGGTCATCATTTACTCCCCATGAAGTTGTTACAGACCTGTAGATTATCTTTTGTCTGTTGAACATAAATGAAGATATTTTAAAGAATGTGAGTAACCAAACTGGTCCGCATGTTCAGATGGCTCAGATGTCCACATGGTCACTGACTTCCATAGAAGAAAAAAATACTATGGTAGTCAATGGGGACCAGAACCTGTTTGGTTACCCACATTGTTCAAAATATCTTCTTTTAGGTTCAGCAGAAAAAAAGAAATTCATACCAGTTTGGAACAACTGAAGGGGGAATAAATGAAGCTCTATTGGAAGATAAAAATTAACAAAAGTTATATGATGTTCCAGAAGTGAATATAGGAGGATCTTGTTCATCTAATCCTGTCAGTTACATTTCAGGGATTTGTAAGTGTCTGCTTTCCTCACTCCAGTGACAATCCTTCCAGCATCACAACTTGTATTTCTTAGCACCTTATTTTATTTTTATTTTATTAGGTGTTCAAGCGCGTAGCGCTGAACCCCTATTGTAATTGTTAGAATGGTCACGGATCAGCGATCTCCACATAAAACTGATCGTGCAGACCAAACCGTAAGTCGTAGAGACTTGAAACTTGGAGGGATGGTAGTACTCCTTGGTCCAAAGTGCCACAAGTGTCTAAGGACATTTGCGTATCTAAAAAATCATGGCCGCCATGGCACCTGTTTGACAAGGTCAGCGGAGGCCGATTGGAACGAAACTCAGTGGGCCTGTTCGACTCACGGCCCCAAAGGTCTGAGAGAAATTTGAAAGAAATCGGCCACTGGGGGGGCGATATCACAGTTTTCAAGGGGCGTAAACGATTGTACGTTGCGCAGTTTTCCGCACATACGCACGATATTCGTATCATACAATAGAACTCCTCATTCCGGACAACTTTGCCTCTACAACCACTGCTATCAATCGAATCATTTGTTAAATGACTGAGAAGATGTAAAAAACCTGCTTTTGCGAACTAGTCCTAGGTTTTTTGCTCAATCTGGATAAAAACACTGCAGTACAATTCTCTGGACTCTCTAGGCCAATAATTATCAAAAAAATGTCTAAAGCCTAAAGGAAAACTCAAAACTTCACAAAGCCTGCTGAGCACATGCAACAGGTGATTCTAAACAAGCATGTGAAGTTTTAAAGGGATCGAACAACAGCTGGCGCTGTAACAGTCATAAACATTCAAAAACATCATATTTCTATGGTAAATTACCTGGATTTACCAAAAATGCTTTTTTTTATCATGGATTTATGTTGGTACAGCCTTTCCTAAATAATATCTTAGTCTTAGTCTCTTTCCTTATATGCTTAAATGCCTTAAGCGCTTGAAATGCCTTAACGCTGCTTGCAGCTATATTTTTATTTAGTTATCAGATGGTTCAGGGGGTAGTCTCGCGTAGCCAGACCTTAAGACTGATGGCTGAAGGTCTGGAATCCATGGCAGCTTTCATTGGCCAAGGCCCGCCCATGAGGCCGTTTGACCGACATGTCAAACAACCAATCACAGTTTGTTTCATTCATCATCACGCTTGGAGGGATGGTAGTACTCACACTGCCTACAGCGTGACCACGGCTCGCCCCAATCGGCCTGATGGGGGCGCTACAGCGATCAAAAGTACGAAATCGCCCATAACTCCTAAACCGTCAGTCACAGGCTCAAGTGTCTTGTGTCGTTGGAATCCTTGGCTCACGTCGGACAAAACAAATGCCTCAGATTTGCTCATGAGCTTGTGAACAAGTCCTAGGTTTTTCGCCCAATCGGAACCAAACCAGCACTGAAAGATTCTATGGAGAGTGAATACCAATAATTATTAAAAAAAAAAAAAAAAACTAGAACTTTTGACTCACCGTCACTAGGCTTGCTGCGATAGACGGTGTTTTCGGTTACACCGGTTACGTCATTTGCCTACCTTAACACTGCCCCACACCGTCGTTTTGATTTTTTTTATAGTAACAACAATCATTTAGCCTAGTTCAGTTAGAGGACAGACACTTTTAAAAACTAAATGCTCAATGCAGCATGCCGAACCGTGCGCGAACGACAGTGCACCACGGAGCAGGAGTCAGATTTTATTTATCACGCGAGGAGAGTGAGTCGAGCTGACTGACAAGAGTGAGGTGAGAAAGACAAGACGATGGCAGAAGATTGTTTAGAAAGGAA